CACCTTAAATACATATACATGCAATCCATGCATTGCACATCGAGAATAAGGAGTTGTTACATACATATGCATCAGCAGCAAATCATCTGCTTATGCTGGCTGAATCCTATCTATCCAAGTCACCTTGTCAGTGACCAATAATAATAAGAAAAAAAAATATAAAAGAAATCTGAAATCAGTGAGTGTAGTAGCATCTGGTCCACATGGCCGCCCAATGCACTTCTTCCTCCATGATATCTAAACATTCAGGCAATTTACAAATTCTACTAATTCCTGCAGCAGGTAACAACCTGAGAAGCTTCCAAGAAAGAAACCTTGGGTTTCTCCAAAGAAGGACTCCAAGTCATCTTAAGATGCCTGCAAATATGAAAAGCTAGATAGCACATATGACAGTGGCCGAATTCCTTCCCATTTTGGGTGTATGCTTTGTATTCACACTTAGAAGCCACTCACCCCAGGGGAGCAGCACTGCTTTCCAGACATCCCCATTCTCTTTTCTAGTTGTGAAACACTGGTCAGTTCTCTGTTGGATGAAGCACTGAAGCAGCAGAAAATTTGTATTGACAACCCTGAATTAAATGGACCCATAATATCATTTACCACTTCTTCTTGCTTCCATCTCAAAGATCCCTGTATTCAGCAGTGTTCTGTAGTTGACTTAAGTGGGCCTAAAGCTACACAAAATTTGGAGCTAGAAGATTTTTGATGCCTATTTGTTTTCTAGTGCTTTACTGCTACACACAAAAGAATTCATCAGTCTGTGCTTTATGTGCTTTGTTAAGATTTGTATCAGCACAGTTCAGAATTTCAACAACCAAGCAGCTGTCTCAATTTCTTTCCCTTGCATAGTTATTTTTCTAGTGCAATTCTGCAGAAGAGAATTACCCTGCTAGTGAAGAAAAGCAGTAAGACCAAGAAGTTGCAAAACAGCCCATAAAATTTTCACAAATGTGCACAAGTGAAAAAGTATTCTATACTGTATATATCTCTCTATACACATAAACATGTACACAGATAGATACATACAGCAATCTTCCCCCCCAAAACATGCACAAACAGTTTCACTTCCCTGGGAAAAGGGTATGTTCTGTCTAGGAGGCAAGATAGAGACTCTTATTTCACCTACATCAAAACTAAAAGTCACCCCACTTACAGATACTTTACTATCCAAACTTCCTCTACAGAAATATGTTTAGAAAAATAAATGAAAATCTTTAGCTAATCAGTCAGCACGCTTCTATGTTTTCACATGCAGACTGCTGCATAAACTCAAAAAACACTCTTGGACATATCTATCTGCCAGCTCCTCCTTGGAAATCATGCAAATAATCTTTAATAAGCAGCTTTGGACAGCAAGGGAGGGGAACATGATGCTTGTTCTTTCTATGTTATTTAGCCTTTGAGAAAAGCAGACATGCCTAGGCACTGGCAGTGTGAGCAGCAGCAGCACAACAGACTGAAGCAGCCAAGAACCTAGAGGTCACTTGGAAATCACCACTGTGTTGTCTTTCAGACATATTAACAAAGATATTCGTGTGCCCTGCATTCTGTCTGACAGTCACCAAAGTTACCATTCAAGGTATTCCAGGCATTACATTGTCCCAGTTGTCCCCAGCATACCTCAAAGCCTTTTTTTTCCATGAGCATATTCCATGCCTGGAATTCCCATTCTTCTATATTCAGATGTAACACTCTCCCTTAAGACATTTTTGGGAACTCGTTCTCCATTAATGGCCAGTCTTTTTTTTTTTTTTTTCCTTAAATATATTTGTGCTGGAATTATGCTCCAGATGAGTCCTTAGAGCATTTGGACCAATTTATGCCACCCACCTACAAGCAAATCAATAGTCCTCTACAGAAACAACTTTTAGCCTTGTAAAGTACTGCAGATACTCTCCATGAATAACATACAAATTACACAAGCCTTAGAAAAGATTCAAGGTAATCCACTTGGTGTTTTCTGATGTGCCGCATGCTTAAAGAGCAGAGTACAAGGTTCTTCCCTTCCTCTTGTAAAGGAGAAAGCTTGTTCTTCCTTGATGTTAGGCTACACTATGAGGACAGAGACAAAGGAATAAAAAGCCGTAGAAATGCACAGCAGTAGAAAAGTCCACTGTGCACACAGTTTGCCAGTTCTCCTTTATTCATCTTGGATCTATCAAGTGAAGAAAGCAGAAAAACTGCCTATATTCCCAATGAGAAAGAAACATAATGCACAGACTCACTCCTGTAGCTGCTACCTGAGCATTACAATCTGAAGTTGTACAAGGTGGGTGTCTTTTCCAGTGACTACAAACATCCTACTGCTAACTCCAAGTTTCATTTCAGAACCATCAAATCCTTGAGAAACAACCTATCAACTTGCTGGTAAAATAAACCTCTGCACCCCGTTTATTACTGCCTTTCTGAATAACACTGGATAATGAATCATCACCTGCTGATACCATCTATTTCATGTTTTGTATAGGTACGTATCACCATAACATCTGAAGCAGGTACATGATGCCATTGAAGTCTCACTATCAGCGGATTCCACAGCTCCAATAACCAAGTGGCACCTTCACTTGAAAGAGAAGGTTGAGACAAAACTGAGGTGACTGCTGGTTAAGGTCACTGCAAAGTCATTTGTTTTCACAACAAGACTGTTGCACAGGCAGTGCCTACAGACATATTACTATGTTCTTCTTCATATAGCTACCACATGCTAATTCCCAGGACATATGATAAAACCCAGGAAAAAAGAATTATTTGATTTTTTTGGAGGAAAAAAAAAAAAAAAGGTGTAGATTTTGAATTGCTCTGCACTTTGTTTAGGACCATAACTGAAATACCTTGGGGGGGGGAAAAATGGGATAGGGAAATTGAGAAATCTGGGGCAAGAGAAATAAGAGAAATCTGGTGAAAAAATTTACTGTTTTAGCCTGTCTGGGTCTGGATCTTGGGTGTCATTCATGCCAGCTGAGTGCATTTATCATCAAATTTCACTGCCATCCTTTGCCCTTTTGAAACTCCTCTATGTAGTAACCAAGATATCCATTTGGCAAGAAAGATAAGGCAGTCAGAAACAGTCTGCATCCCCTCATGCATGTCTGTCTTATCCTGTGCAACAAGGAAAAAGCCATTTTGTGCCTAAGGAACACTTTTACTAGCAGTAAATTGAACTGTCTGCTTGTAAAAAGAGTTGGAGCTCTTCTTAGGCAGCTCCACATTTGCTGTGGGTTCTGTCACTATTCTCCCCAAGTCTTTGCCAATCAGTTCAGCTGCCAGCAAAATGGAAGACTTCTCTGGAAGGACAACAGCAGCTCAACAGCTGAAGGTGTGGGTGGGGATTACTGTTGCATTGTTTACATTATGCCTGCTGGCTACTTACGGGCATGTTTTGCTCTCTGTCAGGGCTTCTGACCCTTCCACTGGTGCTCGAGTTACTGCAGGTTTGGAGTGCGGCCGTTCCTATCTCTGCCATGGGAACATGTGCTTCATGCACCCTAGAGCTCTGTAGCAGCTGTCCACACATGGATTCTTCATCCAGAATGTCACACAATTAACTACATGTCAAAAGGCTATCGGCCTTGAGCGGATCTGGATTTCTTTGCTCCAAAGATACTGCACCACATGTAGTGCCCTGATTTAACTAGACACCCGTTTCACAGCCATACTGAGGGGAGAAAAGAGGATCCCTGACTTCCTGGTGCTATTCCAACTAATGGCCACCAACTCCATCCAGCATGCATGACAGGACACCTGGTAGCACCTGCTACACTGCTGCAAACGCTATCAGGGCAATGCCCTCACACAGAGAGCAGCATGTTCTACAGTAACAGTACTTGTGGAGCCCCAGAGGCAACTCCCCCTGCACCCTCTGCAAACCATGAGCTGAGAAAAGCTAACTGTTTCTTCTTCACACCAACTTGTTTCTTTCTGGAGATACAAGTATTGTCATTACTATTAAGTATACATCTTGCAGTAACGCCCAATGGGCCTCTCTAAATGAAGCTGGGACTTAATTCTTCCTGCAGAAGTTAGTTGCACTCATTTCAGCTTAATTTCACCTTCCAGTTTGCATTCACAGCTCTTATCTACACACTTTTGCCATAATGTATGCCACAAAGAAATATATATATACACACACTCATACACATATATATACTTTTTTTAAAAAATTATTTACTTGTAATTTTTAATGAAATCATGTAAAATTGTTTGGATTTAAAAAAAAAAGTAAAAAAAATAGATTTAAAATAACCAAGTTTCACTTTCAAATTTAAATAGGCTTCCTCTATTGGTGCTGACATTTCTGTCTAACACTTCTTTCCCAGCTAACAAAAAGCATAACTAGTTTTAAGCCAGCAATAACATGACTACTTGACCTCAGGGTATGATAAAGCCGATACTTGTTTATGGCATTATTTGCCAAGCCTCTTGATTTGGAGCATGTAAAACTTGCCTTAAATGCACGACCTTTCATATCAAAGGAACAACATTACAGCAGTGCTGGAGGGCTGAGTCTTATAACTAATAAGTCTTTCAAAGAAACTAGTATTCTTTGTGTTTTGTTATAAGTTCAATACCTATCATTCCTCCTTTAAGAAAAACATGTAAATGTATTAAGTAGATTTAGTTTTTCACACTCTTTCAGTGCAGATTAAGTATTAGTGTGTTAAATCCAGCCAGCATGAAAATCTGACTCAGAGACAATGGGGTCTGATTAGAAAAAATAACTATGTGTAGATAACCAGTTTTGAAGAGCAGCTGGATTCTTGGAAGCAGTCCCTAGAAGTAAACCTTTGTAGGTGAAAAATAACTGCCCAAAGAAAGTGTAGGAGCCTTTAGTTTCTCAGAATTACGTGCACTCAAGAAGCTGTGCTAGTAAAAGGGTCAAGCCCAGGATGAGAAAAACAAGGAAGGGCTTTTTGGCTTTTATTTTTATTGCTCCATTTCAGATATCTGTCCAGCTGTACAGAGAAAGGAGAAAGACTGTGCTGTAAAGACAGTTTGCTTACATGCTCTCGCAGAACTTCGTAAGAGTACTGGGCTTTTCCTGGTTGCGTCTTTGTCGAAACCATCGTTGAATGCTGCGTACATCCCAGTCCAGCTGCTTGGAGAGTCCCTCCAGCCTCTTCTCATCCGGATGCTACAGAACAGAGAAGGATAAAAATTATTTCCTCTTCCCAATCGTGGAAATGCCACTTTTAATTTAGAACTGCTGTAACCACCTCCCAATGGCTTATAGACTGCTTGTCAGACAAATGGATGCATAGAAATAAAATGACAGAGATCTCTGCTGGCACATCCACACCAAAATATGTTTACGGTGACAGTATCTTATTGATATAAGAAGGTTGACATATGCTGCCATATTGCATATTGGTTATTACTGATAAAAACTTACAGGGGGTAACTGGATGAAACCTTTCATGAAACTTGGGAAGTGATGGTAAGCAGAGGTTAAAATGACATATCTATCAAGCAGAGGGGCTTACAAATGCTCCTCTGCCTGCCACACAGTTTGTATATTCCAACCTTGGTCCCACTGTCAGTTACAGAAGTGAAGATTTCTTGACTGACACAGAAAGAAGAGGATATATCCCATGTTTGTGCATATTAATGTTAAAAAATGAGGTCATTAAACAAAATGACAACTTCAAAAGGAAAATCACAAAGAAAGATTTTTTTTTTCTTTAAAATAGCTACACAGAGTTATCCTCCAAAGCAGTAAATGTAAAACTCTCCTTCCATTCAAGTGGCTGTTCTCTGCAAATCAACGTAAAGGCAAGGTAAAATAAAATTAATCTATTCTTAATTTGAATACTAAATAGAGAAGAGTGGAACAGGCCACATTTATGTATGGTACTGCATAAGGACAATCTACATATTTCTCCTGATTACTTTTTTTTTTTTTTTAATTAAGGAAAAGCCATCGGACAGTCTATTTTCTGGAGCTTTAGGTTTAGGTCTGTAAGCCAGTCAGATACATTGAAAAAGATACACATCTGCCACCACAAAGACGTTGTTAAATGTAGCAAAGGGTAAAGCAGCAGTCTTTGCCAGGGTGAAGTTTCCTCTATCAGTCTCCAGCAAAGAAGTCAGAAAGGAAAATAAAAGAACTAGCTGAGAAAAGGGGGAAGTTCTCAGAACTTCCCATCCCTTCTCAGAATTTTTTTTTTTTTATTTACCTTTTAAGTGAATCAAAGTAGCCACTAGGTTTTCCAATGGAAAATTGAGAAAAGCTACTCTCACTGACTTTAAAAATCTAATTCTTCCTCCAGCTGAGTCAGGGAGAGAGCACACATGCTGTATCTTATAGAAATGAGGCATGCATCACTTTCTATGAAAACAAGACAAAAATTGCACCAAGTGCTCTGATGATCTCAGCATAGGGTAGGACACAAAAAGAAGACATATTCATGGCGTATTTCACTGTCTCTGACATTGAACCCAATTTAGCACTCTGTTATCTTAATAGTTTCTGAAATTCCATCTAATTAGTGTCTTTGCTGTGGTGTGCCCAGCTGCAGCCTGGAGCCAAGGTGGAATTGCTGAGTTTCTTCAAAAGAGAGGCTTCATCATTCAGGTCTTCACAGGCCTTTGCACTACAAAGAACTGTCTGTTGACTTTTTCAGGAGAAGCTAAAGGACGTTGCTTAGTATTGTGTGAAAACTCAGACTACAGCAGAAGAATGGACAGGATGACAGGTTTAGCTGAAGATCTCGTACAACGGCAGATGTAGAAACAGTGGCAAGCAGCGGCAAAAACCTCATTTTCTACAAAAAGAAAACGAACAACCTGCAATCTAGAATACTGTTCAGTCAGTTCTCCATACTTTTCTAGCTTTTCCCTCCAATTTCAAATGACATTAATCACAAACAGCTAGGACAACAGTAAGCCATCAGCACCCTGCTCTCAAGCAGTTGCCCTGGAAGGGGTAGCTTCAGAGTTTCATGGAATACACAGTAAGGTCCATCTTAGTATCTCATAATTTGCTCTTCATTCAAAACACACAAAAAACTCACCCTAACCAAAAAAAAAAACCAACAAGGATTCCATGGAACTTTCTAAAAGGGAGGAAACAAAATAAAGTAGGTGGCCATATAGCACCTACGAAGTATTTCTGTAACTTTTTTTTTTTAATCAAAAGTTTACAGGACACATCATGAAAGGCTGCACAACTGTTCAAGTTGGCATGCCAATGAAAACCTTGACACTTTAATGTTATGACATTAGCTGTAAAAATGGCAGTACTGAATTTAGAAGTTATATTCATTTTGTTCAGATGTGTTTTATAATACCATATCCCACTTTATAAGATAAATATTTAGGTAAATACTCTACCTTTGTAATGGCTGTGAAAACTTTTTCCAGGATAGCATTAGGTTGAGCTTTTTGTGGTCCATTAGCTTGGACTTTAAGGCCTAAGGCACACGGTTTAGCAATGAACCTACGAGAAACAGAAGAGTGAAAAAAGAATGTAAGTGAAATCCTTCAGTTATTTACTTCATTACTGTTATCAATCAATGACATATGGTAAATGTGCAAACATTATAACCCTGCCAACAAGAACCAATACTTAGCCTAACAGCTTAAAAGCAAGCTCATACAGGCGATTACATGACAAAATAAGTAACAGCACTTTGAAGGATGAAATGAACTCCACAGAGCACATGAAACAGGATTTTCTTTCATGTTGAAGAAAAAAAAAAAAAGCATAGAACAAAAGCATGAGAGGTATGCCTCCCAGAGAAGCACTGCCTAATGAAAAGAGCAGGGCAGCTTGCAGAGCTGAAGAGCACGTAATGTTCTCCTCCTCCAAATAAGGCCTTTTTCACAGATCAGTTTCCAGAGTAGCTATTGCCTTAGGACTCCTTTTGCACAGTGAAAATTCAAACAAAGTCCTTAAAGGCAGCAAGCATTGAAGATGCCCAGTCAATACAATTTTCTGAACCATGAAGTTCAAATGATGTTGAGCCATGACTCAAAGACTTTGCTTAAGAAATAGATTTTCCTCTAAATTCTTATGCCCAAGCACAATGCTGTCACAGATCCAAATACCAATCTATAAATTCAGCCAGTTTATAAACTGGGAATCTCTAACATATTTTAGAGATGAATTAAATAGCTTACACTCAATGAAAACCACTCCATCCATTAAAAAACTAAACTGTTTGTAACTATGGGTCCCACTCTTGAATCCCCGAAGTCTAAGGGATTCAAGTGTGGGATTAATAGCTACAAAGTCTTTGTAGGAATTCCATCCATATAGGAATAGTAAAGGAATCAGTAATATCTGTCAATAGCACCAGAGGTGCCAGCCTCTGCACCACAGAAAAGCATGTGCAGATGTATTGAGGCTAACTCCTTTGAAAAGAAAGGAGAAGATACTCTGAGAGGAACACACCAGAATTTAACCTTACCCTCTGTTCACAAGCAGCAACTACTATAAAGAGTCACATAGTTGGAAAAATATACAGGAAAATTTGATGGGGAGTAATTCAAGACACTACTTAAATAAATCATATTTATGCAGTACATGCCGCCTGCCTATCTGTAAATTATTAAGGCTCAGATATATCGTTTCGTTCTTCATTTCTGTGGTGCCCAGCACAATAGGACTCAATCCATACAGCTGAAGAGGAACTAGGGTAAAATAAGGTTTACTGACTTCTAACAAGTGCATGCAGCTGCAGTGGTAACTGAAGTGAGAACTGGATCCCATCGTCCCCTGAAAACCATCAGTTTCCTAAACTTCTGCCATCTTTGAATTAAGTAATTCTTGATTTCACTTCAAAGATTTTATTTTGTTGAGACTTAATTTGCCACAGAGACGAAACCAACACACTAGTTAAGTAGCTCTGTGTTTATCCACCTGAATACAACCACGTGCTCTTCAAAATTATAATGTTCTTATACACATTCAAGCATCATTTTAAGTAGTTTTGAACTAAAATTGCTGCTTCTGCTGATTAAAGTGAAATATAAGCTCAGCATTCGCGTTATATGAAAATATGCAATTTGTACACTAGCTAAGTAATATACAAGTCCCCAATTTAAAGTGCAAGAGATACATAAAACCTGCTTTTATTAAAACTGAAGGGACTTTTTTTCATCTCAAACTAGATGACAAAACGAAGTGAGAGTTGTATTCTTTAGTTCAACATGGATATATACAAATCAGAGCTGGTCATTGCTGTTATCAGGTAATCAAAAAGGTGCAGCTGAATAAGCTGATAAAATGCACATAGAGTTTGAGTTTAGAAATTTACTTTTTAATTCTAAGGACTAGTAAAACACTTCCAGTCACGTAACAGATACCAAGATTCTCAGTCCCTTTACATCCATGTTTTATACAAAAAGCTGAAAAAAACCTCTTATCCTTCTGCTGATGGAAGGAATGTGATCATCATTCCTTCACTCCAATAAAAACACATTTCCCTAAACATGCTAATTCAAAAGAAAAAAATAAAACATTGAATTTGTTAAGGTCAAAAGCAGGTATGAGAGTCCCTGCTAGAAAATTCTACCAGATGCAATTCCAAAAAGCTTCATGCTGAGCTGATCTTCATTTAAACCTAAGCCAAGCTCCTGGGTCTGCTTAAATGCCATTCTTAAAATGACATGTCTTGCTAATGAAATGTGTAGAGAAACACAGGAGAAAGCACAGATAAGATTTAAGAGAGATTTTTGACTTTTCCTATGAAAACTTAAGCTTAAACTATACTTTGCAATATTTAAAATTGTTTTTCAAGGTTAAAAGGAAACTTTTAAAGTATAATTTAATCAATAGGATCCAAAATTTCACACCAAATGTAAAAAGCATCATTATCATAATTCTCACTCAGCTTTCTGTAATAATTTAAATTGATTCATAATGAAACAAAAGTAGTGTTTGATACATGCACAAACAGAGCATTTTGCCAAATGTTGTACTTCTTAAAAGCTTTACTCATTTTTTCCATTTCTTCTGCACTGTGGTATTCAATTCCCTAAACAGTCTTACTGAAACCCATGGGACTATTTATTGCATAAGGTATTGCAATTAAGAGGAAAGAAGTATTGTAGAAGAGTAAGGAGAGCAGAACTGAATATATTACCAGCTTTCCTCCCCACATGTAAATCTGAGCAAACACCACAGCAATCTCTCTCTTTCAACTGATTTCAGTGAAGCTGAATTGAAAGCTGGCATTCAATTACACAGAAATTAAAAGGACAATTTTTTTTTTTTTTTTTTTTGCCAAACACAGCCCCATCCATTCCTTATCTAGAAATGAAATAACAAAACAAGCAAGGGAATTAAATTCAGAATTCAAGAACCTTTTTAAAGGCGGCCTCCTCATCCACTGTTTAAAGCCACATTTAAGAACAAAACTGAACCAAAAAAGCCACAGATGACCATTCAGGTAACACCAGGTACTTCAGAGTAACCAGGTGGAAGGTACTCTGCCCTTGCTGGCCTATAAATACTGCGCTGCCTGCCCAACCATGACAGGCATCTAGCAGCGGCCTGTACCTCCCAGAGGCAGCCACCACAGTTTGGAACCTGCCTGTAGTTCTCAACTATGTGGAGCAGAGACAGCGAGGCCTCATGCTCCACCCCAAACTTGGGAATTGTGTTTTCTCTATGAAGGACACAAGAAACCCTTCACAAAATAGCCCCCCATACATACTAGACCATAAAAAGGAGCAACATTTCACCAGAGGCAGGTAATTTTGATAAAGATACCATGCTGCTTTTCCAGCCTGCTCTCTAGCAAATGTCCACTAGACAAAGCCAGCCACCATTATGGCCTAATGAACACAGGGGAAGAAGAGAAGTAAAGAAACAAACTAGTTTTGCCCTGGTGGAAGGAGCTAAATGCCAGCTGGGTACAGTTTACTCCTTGAGGTGGCTACAGTGGGCACAACGCTGCATTTGAAGAGGTCCAAATCCCATGTCCTTTGATGCCAGCTGAAATGAAAACCCAAACCCTCGGACTCTTCAGAAGCCATTCCTACCCCTCTACACCAGACACGCAGTTCCTTACGTTCATAAAATTACAGTTAATAATAAACTGGTTCCTCTTTCTTCATCTTCCACACCCTGTGAAAGTTTTCCCTTAGAAATAGGAATGGGTCAGACCCTCAATAAACACAAATCATTGTGGATGCATGAAACTGGAAACATAACTTTAATATCACAAATCAAATAACCTCAATAAAACAGTAAGGGAGATGCCTTCACTCAGAGTCAGTTTTATACTCCTTTATTGCATAGTCCAGCCTTACTAATTAATTACCATAACCCTTTTAGCTTACTGCTATTCGTCTTGACAAATTACATCAAGTCCCAGAATTAACTAGGCATCTTAGTGTTGGCCCTCATAATCCTTTGAGGCTGATATTTATCAGCACTAGCAAAGTTTGCATTAAACAAATAATTCAAAGTGTCACAGGAAGCAGAAAAGTAAATTGATTTTTTTTTTTTTTTTTTTGCAACTCTGCATTTTACTATAAATCAGAGACCTACTGGTGATGTGTAATATTTGTCCCAGATCCTGTCAGAAACCTGCATATAGCAGTCAAAAAGCATTTGGACAATGCTCTCAGACACATGGTCTCATTTTTGTGTGGTCCTGTGCGGAGCCAGGAGTTGGACTCAATGATCCTTTGGGTCTCTTCCAGCTCAGGATATTCTATGATATGGGGCCAAAGCACACGCTCCATGCTGCAGTATGGCAAGATCAGATCCTTGCCACAGATTTGATTCAAACTCTCCCTTCAATTTAAATAGAAAACAAGTATACACAGGCGATTATTCCATAACATTACTAGGAGATTTTGGAGGTGCTTCAGTAAAACCAGTAGTCACATTGAGGGGGTGGAGCTGCTGGAGGGGAAGCGGAAGCGTTCCTAGCTCAAATGGTTGTACAGAGATACATCCTTGACTTCTAGGAAGATAAGCAACTTCTTCATTAAGCCACTGGAAATACGCCTGCAGAGCCATCCTGGATCACTAGGGTTTCCCTACCAGCAGGTCATCTGCTATTTCAGAGGTGACCAAGACAGTCACCCTTTGCAAATCCATGCTTGCCAGGTTCTCAGTAGCTTTGAAGAAGCTCACACCTCTGCAGTACCTCCAACAGGTTAAGAGGCATCAGATATTTTTTTAAAACAGCCTAAAAGGTCTGCAAGACTTTTCAGACAGCACCAAAAAATTTTATCAAGCTAGCTGAGCTAATTAATATGTGATTTAAGAAATGAAATACTATTAAGCAAAATTAACACATATGGAAAATACTCAAACAATGGTTTACCCTAAATATTCAGTTTAAGAAATATCAGTCTCAAAATAATTGACAATGATAGCTAGCATGTTATATATGTTAACCAGTTCAAAGCATGTTTGGATTCCTTCCCACTGCCTTTGAAGTGATAAAATTGTACTACTTTGCAATGCTTATTCGC